CAAACACAAAAACACAAGTATAATTTTTTCTCTAATTCAGTTTGGGTTTTTTTTTTTTAAGCTTCACTTTGTTAGTTTCATATGGTCATGGGTCTTGGATTATATACCTACTTTTTAAATCTGTCTGAGGTTCTTCTCTACTCACTCACAAAATGAGGACTGCAGAACTACTGTTAGTTTCAGATGTCTTTCTCAGAATAGTTCACTGAACTTTTCAGTGTCTACATAGTAATGTTTAAGGGATTCTCTGCCCAAGTCCTAATGATTTCCTGCTGTGTATAGATAAGTAGAAAGTTGAACCAATAACAAGATCCGTTTGAAAAAGCAAGGAAGGAAGGACTTATCAGTCTAGATTGGTTATTAAACCAAGATATGAAGCTAAAACTTAGATGCAAAAAAAATGATCAGTGATGATTACTTATGGTTATTTAAAGGGGTAGTATTTCAAGTAACAAAGAAGCAAGTTAATAACTTGAGAAAGCCAAAACCATGTACCAAGGTCAGTCTTTTCCCTCTTTTTTCATTTCCTGTAAACTTTTTGCTTATTTTAGTTCTATGTGTTCATTAATTTATTTTTATCTTGTTTAGATATACAGAAAATGGGATTAAAAAATTTCTTTTGTGCTGAGACTGGCTATTTACTATGTCATCACTGTTTTATTCTTTTTTTTTAGGAATTAAATTTTTTTGGGTTATTCAACTTCCTTTTTTGTTTGGAGACAATATACATGATCATATCAAATGATGCATCCAAAAGAATATTCAACAGAGAAATATTAACAACATTACTATTAAAGGAAATAAATGGCAAGAATACCCTCTTAGGTAGGGACTGTGTAGCACTATACTGGTACACCTACCAAATAAAGCAAAATTAGTATCACAAAGAAGCATGCAACTCACTGTAGTGTCAGCCACCCAACGTCTTTATCGACTGGATTCCAAACTGGTTCAGGGAAGTCATGGGTGAGTCACAACTTGGGCTTAAGTTACAAGGGGGTAGTGTTCATGGAATCACTCCCTCTCCATCTGTGCTCTACAGTAACATGGAAGAAATACCAAGGTCTCACCTTATTCACCCGTAGAGAGCAGGAAGAGTTGGAGGCTCTGTTTGACCACACCATGTTTCCAGATAAAATTCTCCAGAAGGACCTTGCTTAAACTTGATCTATCAGAGTCAACAGTAAAGGTCTGTGTGATTCCCTGTTATTGGTAACCCTTCCAAATTACATGCTGTTGATAAGTCTGGAAAGTCTCCATAATACAAAATAGCAGCATTACATTCACTGAGTACCTACTGCGTGCTAGACCGAACTTGGCCCATTGCATATGTTGACATCACTATCATCCAGTTTAAAAGATGAGGAAAACTGAGGTTCAGTGATGGGGTTAGAATATAACTGGAATTAGAAATATAGAGATTTTTATCTTGTAGAGCTCAATAAGGAAGAACTCTTATCCAGACACCTCACTTAGAGCTTCTGGAAAAATTCTTACAAATCTGTTCGCTCATAACATTACCAACAGACAAATTACTTCCCCCAAACTCAGTCTGCCAAGACCAAAATATTTTTGTTAGAGAGTTCCTCACTGTGGAGATTTTCTAATCTTTGAAAACCGTTCAATTCAAATTCCATACTTCCCTCTAGATCCGTGAAGCTTTTCTTCTCTAACATTTGGCATCCTTTGTCTCAACCCCCAGCACAATCTCTGAAACATGACTTCTATCTTGCCTTCTTTCTCTGGGGTTCCAGTCCTGACATCTCTCTGTCTGATCGACTCCCTCATATCTACCTCTGCTTGTTCAGAACTCAGCGTTATGGTGCGTTAGAGA